TGGTCGCCGAGTCGCTTGGTGCTGCAATCCTCGAGTCGCCTCTTGCGCTTCGAGCTAACCCCAATTTTGTTCCCCTGTCTTCCTCCGGGGAGTTCCTCGTCGTTTCCGTGTACAGCATGCCTCAGCGTAGATTTACATGACCCTGGAATCTCTTGGAATATAATGCATGCCCCTGTTTGATTACACGAAAGAAAATGAGTTAGACCAAATGCGCTTCAGTGAGATCGCGTCTGACTGCACCCCAAGCGTCGCTGAGCTCAAAACTCACAGGGACCTCGTGTTTACATCTCCCTTCCTCTTTCCAGTGCGCTAACGTCGACATACAATCTTATGAGACGTGCTCATGTCCGATATATGAACGTAACTCCTCTGATGTGTCTCAAGAGTATAATGTCAATCGTAATGAATAAGAACCCCTATTCGATGCACACATACTCGGCATAGAACGAGGAAGAAAGGAGTAATTTTTAATGCTTGAATCACAAAGGGACACCCTGATCCGGCACGGGGGGATTTGCGCCCGAGCCCATCATGACGTGGGATCCAACGCTGGTGGTTTCGCCGGCCGTCAAGAAGATGTAGGCTATAAACATCGGTCAGTTGGACGAGTCAAGAGAGTCACATTGATGTACCTGGGCCAGGAGGATACACCCGGTTGTTCGGGGGGCTGGTGATCGTGAGGGAGCGTTTGTCCTCGGAGAGGACGGCATCCAGGAACACCAAGCGGGCACTCGAGTGAAAAGCGTGAGAGGAGAACCCGAGGTCCATCAGGGCAACTTATGGGGGTTGAACGATCAATGGGGGATTTTCGACCAGTGCAGGAATTCAACCTTTGATAGACGATGTAGATACCCCGGCAGGGATGGACACACTGACGGTGAATTTGTGGTTGAAGGGAATCTTGGACGGCACGTTGGATAGGGTCGGCCTTGCCATCTGCATGAACGGCGGGTCCAAGGTCTCCACACGGAATTCCCTGAAAATGATGAATATTATGCATGCATGAAGGAACAAGCGTCCACATACGAAGAGAACCCTGGCTCGCCCGGCGGCACGACGGTAATGTTCGGGTTTGGGTTGGACCCAGCAAGCAGGATATTACTGCGGGGGATGTTCAGACAACAAGAGTACGGTGTAAGTGAAGACTGAGGCTTACCCCTGCGGTGTTAAAGTCACTGTCGAGTGATACATACGGGCAATTTTGCTCGTCGCCAGCCCCTTCTGCGTCATGCGGCTGCCCAAAGGTGCGGCCGGCGTGTAAAGTACAGGAGTGAAACTGGAGACGGATCAGGATTCGGCTGACGCGTGGAGCATTGCACGTACATTGGATGGTCTGCATTCCCGTTCCCGGTGGGGACACCCACGGCTTTTAGAGCAGCATATCCCGTAAGTGCGCCGTTGATTATGATAACCTGTCCATTCGGGAGGAGAATCATTTCAGGCATCATGCGACCCTGCGGCATGTGTTCAACTTCCCATCCCTTCTTGATCCCGGCGGCGGTCAGAGTGATGCGGCTGCACTGAGAGCTAGACGGGTCCTGGGAGGAGAGAGCCTCAACTGGACTCGTGTCACTCGCGGTCGTGCCGCCGCAAGCCAGTACCTCAGGGACGTAATCCGGGGGGGAGAGAGGGAGAAGAGTAGCCGTCCCATCGAACGGGTTTGATATTCTCTGGCCATTGGGTAGATCGGGGAGTATTGTTTCGGTCCCTGTTTCAATGTCGTAGATGATAGACTGGTTGTTTGCGACCATGAAAACCTTCCCGTCGGGCAGGGCGAAGACACTATGAAGAGTGAGGCCGACGCAAGGGAAAGTTATATTCGTAAAACTGACCGGGGGAAGAGGTTGGCCGGCACAGTGCGCGCAAGGAACGCAGAAGGGCGAGGAACGCCGCCGTCTTTCGGGGGGAAAAACTCGAAACTGTTCGCAGGATCTGGGTTGCATACAATACAATTAAACCGGAACCACGCTTGGTCTACAATCAATTACCGGTGTTGTAGAACGGCGTCTCGGTGTGCATTCCGCCAACGATCAGCTGTAGGGTGTGAGCAGAGAAGATGCATACGAAGATGAACTCACCAAAGACCCGTCGAACATTCTCAACGTAGATGGGTACCTATTGTTCATTTAAAGACGGCTCTCCCACGAAACAAGCTAAATGTACCAGCGGGGCTCGGCCAAGTGCAAGTTTTCAAGGTCCTCGAAAACCGTGCAACCGACTCCGTTGGGGTCGTCACAGGGCCCAAAAAGTCGGAGTGCGCTCAGCCCGTCGTAAGCACCAGTCTGATTCACGTCTGCTGGGGGTGGAATGTCGCCTCCCACACTGACCTAATAGACTAGTTAAAGCACCAAAACGGGATCAACACCAATCATCTCACCATCGTGCCGTTGCTGAGCAAAGCGCCGGAGGCGCAGAAGGTGTCCGAAACGAGTTTCAAGGCAGTCGCCGTGTTGGTCTCCAGGTTCCATAGCGAACCCCACGCCGTCTTCCCGTCGGGCGTCTTCAGAGGATCGTTGGTGGCGCGGTCAAAGAATATTGCCAGCGTAGGGGATACAACGATGGACTCCAACCCGATGACACCAGAGTGTCCCTTCTCTACGAACTGCCATGCTGGGGCAGAAGGGACAGCGGCGGCAGGGAAGAGCAGAAAAACAAGCGAGAGGAGAGAGCCTAGACGTATCATTGTAGGCGGCGCAAAACGTGAAAACTCCCCAGCTTAAGAAGGGACGACCAAGCGCTGAGAATTGTCGGCATAATTTTGGACGCCAGACCACGGTGTAATTTTGGACGCCGGACCATGACACTGGTGGCACCTGAGCGTTTTGATCACTCAATCGCCAGCCACGCTCGACCGCGTCTCTGCTCGATGAACGTAACGCAATCGAAAGGGATTGTCAGCTGTAATAAATGTAAGCTTCGGTTCCGGTAAATAGCTTTTCAGGCGGGAAACACGCTAAAGAGAAGAGTTTCCCGAGTGGTCCACTGGGCTGTAGGCGGGTCGTTTGAGTTATGAGGCTGATTGGCGGCGGGAAATAACGGGCCAATAGCGTATGTGTAGGTGGGTCAGGTGGGTCGGTAGAGTTACCGCTCCCAATCCCCTCCTTTGTGAGGCTGATTGGCCCCGGGCAATAACGGAGCCTGTGTAATTTCCATCCCTGGTAAATGCGGTCAGTGTTGCGGCCTGTACCGATGACCCGTCAAAAATTGAAGAGCGAGCCAGGAGAGATCCGAGTTCCCCAGCAATCTCGTGATGGGAGCAGAGCGTCGCTTCCGGTACTATTTCCAGGAGGGAAACATACTGAAGAGACTTGAAGAGGACACAAGTTCGACCGCGGCGCGGGCCGGTCCGCCTTTGTAAGGCTGATTGGCGGCGGGCAATAACGGAGTCTGTGTGATTGTCCCTGCTACAGGCGGGAGTTGCCCGCCGCAATTGGAGTAGGGGAAGGGGCCGAGTAAAGGGAAATAAGTTGATTCACTCTCGGGAGCGCCGGAAAGCGTCGCCTGTGCTATTGGGATCACAACCGAATCACCAATGAAGCCTCGGGCTGAAACACGCGGGCGGAGAGGCATTCAAATTAAAATTAGGCAGCCATGATCTGTGGAGTTGAATGTTCACAGTAGACAGGGAAGAGGCGTGAAGCCAGTCGACCGAGCTCCTTCTGCTCGAATCCACGGGAGTATGGATCCATTATATGCAGATGCGCTCCGAGCGCTACCAAGCCTTTCCAGGTTGTATTTCAGGCTGATTAAATCGATTAGTTCGGGGAGAATTTGAGCGGTGAAACAAAAAACAAAAAATCAGGGCCCCAACATATGGCTTGGGCTCGAGTCGAACGAGCGTCTTCCCCTGCAATAGAAATCATCAGATGTAAAGAGAGGGGATGCGCTCCGAGAGCCACCAAACCTTTCTATAGTGTATTTTGGCCTGGGGAAATCCATTAGTTTGGTGAGTTTGAGCGGAGAAATAAAAGGAACACAGGAACACGGCCATGGTTTAGGCCCCAGTCGAACGAGCTGTCCTCTACAGTGCAATTGAAAGCACACACGAAATATGGAACGCAGCCGCGCTCCGCACGCTACCAAGCCTTTCCCAACTGTAAGTTGACCTGGATATACGAAAGAGTTCAGCGAAGATCTGGGAGGGAGAGGGAAGACAAAGAACGATCCGGACTAAGACTTGGGCTCGAGTCAAACGAGCTTCTTCCGCAGATCGAAATTTTATTCCTACGGGAGGCGGAGGCGCTCCGGGTACTACTAGGCCTTCCAAGCATGTATTGCGGGCTGAATATATGAAATAGGTTAGTCAGGATTTGGGCAGAGAGCACCAAAAAGGTGCACAACTTGGAACACACGAAGCTTGGGCTCGAGTCGAACGAGCTTGATCTGCTGTAACCACAAAGTTTGGTAATTGAACGCAGACGCGCTCCGAGCACTACCAAGCCTTTCTGCGGTGTACTCCGGTCTGGCTAAATCCATTCGTTTGAGGAGGATGTATGCAGGAGCAGCGAGAAAAAGGCAACACGAAGGACCATGGACTTGGACTTGAGTCGAACGAGCTTTTTTTCTGCAGTTCATTATGGCCACCATGCATGAAGCGGACGCGCTCCAAGCGCTACCAACCCTTCCCGTACTTCATTTCGACCTGGCTATACCAAAGAAGTTAGCGAGGGTTTGAGCGGAGAGTAAAAAATGCAGGTGTCTGGGCCAGAGGCTTGGGCTCGAGTCGAACGAGCTCTCTCTGCAGATGGGATTGTCTCAAGATATTGAAACCAGACGCGCACCGAGCGCTACCAAGCCTTTCCATACTTTATTTCGACCTGATTAGATCCATTAGTTCAGCGAAGATTCGAACTCGGGATCAGAGAGATGCAAAAGAAAGATGCGCTCCTAGCACGACCAAGCCGTTCTATCGCGGATTTCAGCCTGGTGATATTCAAGAAGTCAGTGTGAGTTTGTGAGGAGGGAGCAGCGAGAGAAAAAAGAGATAGTTTTCTACAGCAGGACTTGGGCTCGAGTCGAACGAGCGTCTTCTGCTGAAACAACCTGACTCGCAATTGAAAGCAGACGCGATGAGAGCGCTACCAAGCCGCTCCGTGCTGTATGTCAGCCTGAATTAGCGGGAATTTGTGTGAGAGAGGGCGAGAGGAAAGGACTTCCAGCAGATACAGAGGCTTGGGCTCGTGTCGAACGAGCTTATTCTGCATTGCGGGCATTACAACTGATTGGATGTAGACGCCCTCCGAGCGCTACCAAGCCTTTCCCTCGTGTATTTAAGCCAGGTTAAATCTATTGGTACAGCGAAGATTATTGAGGAGGGAAAGAAGTCGTGCACAAACCAACGCAGGGCTTGGGCTCGAGTCGACCGAGCTCCCTTTGCAGATCGAAATTTATCAAAACTCATGGAACGCAGATACACTCCCAGCGCTACCAAGCCTTCCCTATGTTTTTTCTGAATATACGGGAGAGATCAGTGGGGATTTGTGGGGGAGCAGGGAGGAAAAAGTAACCGAAACGGAACATGCTCAGGGCTTGGGCTCGAGTCGAACGAGCTTCTTCTGCAGTACAGGACCATCTGGGTCCCGATAGGGCGCTGTTTTAAATTCCCCAGGGATTAAAAACCGGTTTATGAACATTGTTTGTAAACCGGCCTATAAACATGTTTACAAACCACGGCGTACTGGATGCACTAAAAATCCAGTTCTTCGACCTGCCCCCCGAATTTCATCGTCGGTGCGAGCTCTGGCGTGCTTCCACCTGGGTTCGCAGAGGTCCCTTCCCAAGTCGAAAGACTCCGGATTTCGTCCGCCCCCTTGACCGGCGCATCACTGAGACAATCCCGGAAGAACGGTATTATAATATCTACCATGTCGCGCTCGAGATCGAAGTCCAAGGAACCGAGCGCCGAGTGAGGTTCCGAGCTGTCATCAATCTCGTTGACTGCTGCCAACCCCGCCTCACAGTCATCTGTCACTTGCGGACAATGCGCAACTAAATCGGTTGCATCGGATCATGATGGGCCCGGTGTGTTGGCCGGAGCAGCTTTTTGTGAAGCCATGAGTGTTTGCGAGGAGATACTTGAGAAGCCGAAGGAGGTCCTTCTGGGATAGCGAAAGCAGACGCTCCGAGTGCTACCAAGCCTTTCCACAGTCTATTTCAGCCTGGTTATGCATAAGCGGTTAGTGGCAGTGGTTAGCACATGGACGTAACCTAGGTCTGCGGGAGACCTCTAACTGCCCACATGGGCAGCGTGGATTGTTGGTCTAGGGTCCTAGTCCTTCTAAGCGGCTACTATTTGTTTACACGTTGCACAGCATGGCGGTTCACCGTTCTGATCGGGACTGATCGGGACCTAACGCGATTTTCGCGTGATCAGTCGCCATCAATGCGGTTTTTAGCTCGCCTTCTCTCCTCCACTTGACTCTACGTACACGATGAGCAAGCACGACCTGAACGACAAAGACTTGGAGGAACTGCCTGTTCCTGTCCTCTCGCACGGCGAGGATGCTCCGGACGTCGGTGGAAAGCGGTGGCTAGGTTCTACGGAAAACAGGACAGTGCGAGGCATGAAGTCCCGCCATCTCACTTTCATTGCCATTGGTGTGTTATCTGGGCTCCTGAACCGGTCACGGGACTGATGCGCTCATCCTTCCCCTATCTCCTTTTTCCAGGCGGAACAATCGGTTAGCTATGCATTCAGCATTGGTTTCTCTAATCCCTCAGTTGGATCCACAGGCACCGGTGAGGGGTTCCTTCCCAGATTTCGATGGATTTGGTGATTCAACACGTCCGCAGGTCTCTTCCTCAGTATCGGCTCCTCCGTAGCCACAGCTGGTCCAGCTGGAGCGCTGCTGGCCTACACGCTGGTGGGAATCTTCGTTTATGGGGTGGTGATGACCCTCGGCGAGATGAGCTCCCTCATACCCGTACGTTACTTCCTTGTCTCTCTCCTCGTCCGAAGAGAGACTCAAACTGCTGCACTTTCTCGTGAAAATAGGTCAGCGGCGCGTTCTCGTGCGTGAACAGCTCTATATGTCTTATGTGTACGAGCTAAACCAACAGGACGTTTGGGGACCGCTTTGTGTCGCCGGTGCTTGGCGCGACACTGGGCTGCAAGTTAATTCCAACTGCGTCGCCGGGACACCATATCTGATAGATGTTCACAGGGAACTACTACCTTCAAGTGACTCCTCCGTTTGCTCCACACGCGCCAAACTAACACACTCCCGACTCCAGTGGGCACTTTGTGAGATTATTCGATTTCTTCGCCGCCACCGTGATTAACCCACTAACCTAAACCAGCGATCCCTTCAGAGCTTGTGGCCGCGAGCGTAATCTTGTCGTTCTGGACAGATAAGCTTCAGTCATGGTTAGTCCTTGCTTGGATTATTCTCCCTTGAATCCCGTCCTGACCCTCCGGCCCAGGGAATGGTCCCTCATCATCATCTTGCCTGTACGCTCCATTTCCCCGCGTCCTTCACAAATCATCGATCCCCGTTAGGTTTTCGCCTTCAACCTCCTCCCCGTCCGGAACTACGGCGAAGCCGAATTCTGGCTCGCTGGGATCAAGGTCAGTATTATCTCCTGCGCTCCTCCCCAGAGCATTGGATAAATAGTAACCTGGATCGAATACATACACAAAGGTCACCCTGATAATCCTATTCATCATCGTAGGCCTCATATACGACTGGGGCGGCGTCATCGGACACCCTGGCCCGGGACTCTCGAATATTCGAGATGGGGCGTTTACGGGAGGGTTCGCGGGGACTGCGCAAAGCTTTACCGTGAGTCTCTCCTTACGATTCCGCGTGCCCTCGTTTGACAGTGCCCGTTTCCTAGTTCGCTTTCTTCTCCTTTGGAGGGGTACGTTATCTTTTCTACTGGGGCTCGAGTTCGTCGTTCACAGTCCACCGCGTTATTAAGGTCGAGCTCGTCGCGCTCGCCGCCGGAGAAAGTGCGCAACCGCACAAGTCGGTCCCGAGGGCCATCAAAGCGACGTTCTTGAGGTGCGCCACGCACAATTACGGCTGTCTGTCGGTTCACGTTACTGTCGAAACTGCAGGATCGTACTGTTTTACCTCCTCACCTGTCTCGTCATCGGGTAACTAGATATCATGTCACTCAGCCGTACGCGCATCTGACTTGGAGTAATCGTCAGCCTCTGCATCAACCACGCTGACGAGACGCTATTCGAGTCGTTCGATAACTCGGACGTCGCCGTACGTCTTCGTTCTTTTTTCTTTCTTCTCCCACCTCGTCCCCCTTTCTCACGCCCCCCCTCCTAGGCCTCACCCATCACAATCGTCTTCCAACGTGCCGGGTTCGGCGCCGCAGTGCACGTCGTGAACGCTGTCCTCCTCACCGCCGTGCTCTCCGCCACGAACAGCTGCTTCTACGCCTCGTCACGCATGCTGCTCAGCCTCGCGCGCGAGGGCAAGGCGCCGCATTTCTTTGCGTTTGTGACGAAGGGGGGTGTTCCGGTGCCAGCGCTCTTGTACGTCGTCGCGGTCTTCTTTTTCTTTTAAGCGCCGGTTTTAATCGCGGTCTGGTTGGTGCGAAGGTTGACCCTCGCCTTCTCCGCGCTCACCTTCCTCGCGACGATCTGGGGCGAAGGCGTCGCCTTTACGTGGTGAGTCCGTCCCGATACCTCTGACTTCCTCATCTCTAAATCCCCCTGGATACTACCAGGTTCATAAACCTCACCGGCATCAGTGCCCTCTTCACCTGGATCGCCATCGCCGCCATCAACCTCCGCTTCCGGCGTGCCTTCGCTGCCCAAGGACGTCCCCTCTCCGACCTCCCCTTCCGCGCACCCTTCTCCCCCTTCCTTGCCCTAAGCGCAATCGCGCTGGGGTGGCTGATGTTCGCGGCACAGGGGTGGGCGGCGACGACCTACGGCGATGAGGGGACGGAGCTTGCGAAGGATCTGTTGGCGGTGTATATTGGTGGTACGTGCTTCGTGCTTCTGCTTTGTTCTGCGTGCAGGGTGGGTGTGCTTGGGCTGAATACGTAAATGCACGCCAGTGGCTTTGTTCTTCGGCATCGGGTTTGGGTTCACGATACACCACAAGATAACAAAACCGGGTGTCCCGCTCCTCGTGCCCCTCCTCGAGGTTTGTTCACCTACTCGATGTAACATTCACCGCTCGACTCTGATTGTTTCTTTCTCCCTTGTTGTGGTGCAGTGCGACTTCGAGACCGGCGCGGTGTGGGGCCGCGGAGGCGGGGCTGCGCTGCGCGAGAAGGAGCGGCTGGAGGAGAGCGAGAGGCCTGCGAAGGGTAGGAGATGGGTCGGGGTTCTCAAGAGATCGGTCTGGTAGAACGTCTGTTAAGAGCTGGCGGCGACGCACCTCGCGCTGGTTAATTCGGTAGTGATGTTATTCGAGATGATCACCGACTTATCTCGTCTCTCACATGCCGATTCAACGGCCAGCTCTGCATCTTTTCCTGCGCGGTCATGCCATCATAGTTCCACCTCACACTCGGCATTCAACGTATGGTATATGGCAAAAATCAACCCAACGCGTACGATTTCCATACTAGCCCGCAGATCTAGCCGACCGTGCCAGGAATCCGTTGCGTCTGGACCGCATCAATAGTGAAACTTGCTGTCATCTCGATCGCGAAAGACGTCCGAGGCGCGGCGCGATATCGGGTGAAGTCTTACCCGAATGCCGAAGGCTCGGTGGGCAAACAAAAAAACGCCTCCGAAGTTCAAGGGCTCAGCCCCGAGTCTGGGTTGTTTGCAGTATTATGTATTTTGGCAAACGTTTATGCGATGCAGATGCGCTCCACGCGCTACCGAGCCTCATACTGTCAGTTTGAGGATCGGATTGGAGCGGGAAAAATTGGAACTTGGGCCGTACATGCAATGAAAACTCCTCGGTGGAAATAGGTGTGGTTGCAAACATGAATTCGAACGTCAAGATCCTATCAATAATTACATACACTCAATGGTGGCTCGTGTTCAAAATGAATCTCCAAGTTCGTAGCCTGCTTTCCCACTTTTGAGGGAATGACCTCTGAGATATTGATATTCCCGGTTGCCGCTCTATCCAAAGGACCCCTACCTCCACCGTACCCAAGACTAC